TATCTTCTCCAGGTTACTCTATTCCCCTATTACTGACCATGAAGCCAAGAAACTTTCCTGGCCTAACCCCAAAAGCGCATTTTAAAGGGTTTAGCTTCATGCGATATTTCCTTAGTACGTCAAACATTTCGCCTAAATGGTCGACGTGTTGTCTTGCCTTGATGCTTTTTACCAGCATGTCATCGACATACTCCTCCATTGTTCTCCCGATTTTTTTAGCAAATATCTTGTTCACTAGCCTTTGGTACATTGCTCCTACATTCTTTAAGCCAAAAGGCATTACCTTGTAGCAATAGAGGCCCCTGTTTTATGAACAAAGTATGCTCTTCATCAAACAGATACATTGGAATTTGGTTATAGCTAGAGTAGGCGTCCATGAAACTTAACAGCTCGTGCCCATCAGTGGCGTCAACCATTTGATCTATTCGGGGAAGTAGGAAACCATCTTTTGGGCATACTTTGTTGAGGTCGCTAAAATTGACACATGTTCTCCATGTCCCATTAGGTTTGATTACCAGGACATGGTTTGAAACCCATCTAGAATAGTGAGCCTCCCTGATGAAGCCATTATTGATGAGTTTGTCGACCTCTTCCTTTAAAGCCTCATACCTCTCTGGGTTCATTGGTCGGGATTTCTGACGTTTTGGGGGATACGTGGGGTCGACGTTTAGAGCGTGGCACATAACCTAGGAGTCGATGCCTTCTATGTCTCCGTATGTCTAGGCGAACACATCCAGGTTTCTTTTCAGGAAATCCTCGACCTCGATTCCGAGCGCCGGAGGCAGGTCTGATCCTATCTTCAGTACCCTCATCGGGCTCCCGTGATCTACTTGGACTTCCACCAACTGCTCGATTGGTTGGGACCAGGTTTCCTCCGTGACTCTAGGATCTATGTCCTCGATTGCCCCTTGGTGTACCATTCTGGCCTCCTGTCTCCCCTGTTGATCATATCCGTGAATGTCATCCGTGTATGCAATCATGGATTCGTACTGATTGCACTTCATCTCACCTACACCGTTGGGAGTTGGGAACTTAACCTTTTGGTGATAAATGGAGGTTATTGCTCTTAGCGCCTGAAGGGTCGGTCTCCCAATTACGGCGTTATACTATGAGCCCCCCTTTATCACCACAAAGTTTGCCATCGTGGTTGCCTGCCTAGGCTTTTCTCCCGTGGTGATGGGCAGCCAGATCGTTCCTTGGGGGATGACCGAGTCCCCTGTGAACCCGAATAATGGCCGGGTTGTTTTCTCGCGTTGCTCCTTTGGAATTCCCATTTTTCCCAAGTAATCAGAGTATAGGACGTCTACCGAGCTTCCATTGTCTACAAGGATTCTACACATTGTGTAGTTTCCAACCACTGCTTCTACCACCAAGGTGTCATTGTGGGAGAAATGGACACCATTCACATCTTCCTCTGTGAATGCCACATCATTGTTACTGAATTTTGCTGCCTTGGCAATGGAGAGAGCCCAAAACCTCTCCTGGTATACCCCCTCGCTTCATGGGTACAACCTTTCTGGGATTTCTTGGAATCTCCCCCGAGATATGGACCCCCATGGATGGTTCTTATGACGCCGACTGGTTCGCGGTCTCCTCCCCACAGGTTATCCTCCCAGCGCCGACCGTTATTTCCTGGGCTTTGGCCTCTCTTTTCGGCTTTGAACTCTTGGAACCTCCCATTGCAGATTAGCCTATCGATTCATCCTTTAGGTCGGTGCAGTCATTGGTGTTATGGCCGACGTCGCCATGGAACCTGTCGTACTTGCTCTGATTCCTCCGGTTTGGGTCTGACTTCATCGGCTTTGGCCGGCGTAGTAAGTTTCCTCGTCCGACCAGATTGAATACCTCCTCCATGCCTACAGTAAGCTCGTGAAAGGAGTCATACTATTGGAACAATTGAGGCTTTCGATTTTCCTCTTGCCTCGGCTTCTTTGCGTCTGAAGGATTTGGCGCTGACGCAGTCTGTTTGTCTCCGTTTCCCCCGCCTCATCATTTCTGACTATCTTGCTTTCCTGAAGTCGATCCTTTTTCTGCTACTTTGTTTTTATTGGACCTGTACTCGGGATTGTTTACGTCGGCTTCCTCAACGTTGATATACCTCTGCGCCCGTGCTAGAAATTCTTTGTAGGTGGGTGGTGGCTTTCGGTTTAGGTCACACTTAAACGGCGTGGTCCTTTTCATACTGGACAGGGCCCCCATCAGAGCCTCTTGGTCTATCATATCCGTTGTAGCAGGGACAGCTTCCCCGTACCTCACAAGCCATCCTTTAATCACTTATTTAGTTTTTGGTATACCATCATCAGGTTTTGCTTCGGCGGGATATAATTCTTCATCTCAATGAACTGAAGGGAGAAGGCTTCCTTCAACTCTTCCCAACTGGAGATGGACTCTGGTTTGAGTGTCTGTAACCATCTTCGGGTGGAATTCGTCAAGTGGTTTCGGAACGCTCGACACATTATTTCCTTTGCGTATCCATGCAGAAGCATGTGCCCTATGTACATTTCCAAGTGGTCATCGGGATCTCCTCTGCCATCATATGGTGGGATCGTCAGGGACTTGTATTTGTCGGGTAAAGGCGGCGCCATGATCTCTGTGGAAAAAGGGTGGTCATGAGTTTGGCCGAGGGTGATGTCGACGTTGACCACTTCCGCCACCTATCCTAAGTTTTTTTGTAGGTGGCTCACCTGGATTTTGACGTCCTTCTTTAAACCGGCGACGTCACCCGTACTTTTCTTCTAGGCCCATCACACGCTCTATAATGGCTCTAGCCTCTTCCGTAGAGATTGCAAAGGTGACCCCTTTTGAGGCTCCTGCCTTCTTCATATTCAGCTTATCCCTCAGGTCTCCGCCTTCTTGCACCGACCCCGAATCTCTTAGGATATTCTTTCCCGGGTTCTGAGGGGGCGCCTCAGGGTTTTCCAGGCCGTCGTGTGCTCTCCTCTCCTGGGTTCATCACCTAGCGGCCCTTTGTCGCCTACCAAGGGATTTGGACGGTCGAGGTCTCTATATATCTCCCATGGCATTTTCACTATCCCCGATCCCTTCTGGGGTACCTTGGCAGTCACCAACATTCTGGTTCCCAGCCATGGTAGCTCTTGATGGTCTCGGGGCATCTTCCAAGGGAGGCATAGAGTTTCTCCCTTCTAACCGGTCGACAATGGTCATTAGTCCTCGACCCAAGTCGGTCAGAGTGTTCATCTGGGCCTGCATCTGTACCGGGTCAAGTTGTGGCGTGCTTGGGGGTGGAACTTCATCCCTCGTCGGGGGTTGATTCCCCTGGTCGGGGTGATTTCTCCCACTCCCACTGTTGGTTGGATGTGTGGTATTTTCCTCCGTTTGACTGTTTAGATTTGAAGCGCCATTTCTTCTTCTCAGAGGCATGATTATTTGTTGTCCGGGGTCAACCACGTGAACCAAAGATTTTGGGTTCGGTCTCCAGTAGAGTTGCCAATTGTTGACGGTCAAATTTCGTCAACAAGACCGTATCTCTTGTTTTGGTTCTTACAAATTACACACACACAAAAAGATCCCCCTCTCTCACGGGGGCTTTGTCCCTTTTATAGCTGATATTACATGAGCCTTGCCCAACGGTAGGCAGTTTGGACCATTTGACCGTGTATTCCAGGGGGCTCATCCACTCGAGTGGCCTATGACCTCATTTGTCTATACCGTAGCCTGTCAGCACATTTTGGACTGTTCACTCATCCAATTTGTCTCCCCATTATGACTCTGAAGATCCTCTATAATACCAATTGATCCATTCCAGGCAGTTTAAAGGGCTTGTAATCATTCCATGTACAACTGACCTTCTTCAAACCCAAACGCAACCTTGGGATACCCAGCTGGTCACCTCAGGGTTCTTCCTCAGGATATGGGTCCAGTTGCTCGCCAGCCTCGACCGAGTACATATGGTTGACGGTATAGGCCCCCTTATGCACTCGGCTCTCATATCATGCAGAGGGGAGGAAATCTTCTCAAGTGTCGAGGGCTACCTAGCGTGATAGGCGTTGGGCCAAGTGGAGCATGATCGTTGTCCGGTGTGTCCGTGTGAATTTTCCCACACAACACCATCAATCTTTTTTTTCTAACTAACAAAAAAGGAAAAAACTACATATACTTTTTATATAATGAATAAAGAGAGAAGACAATCGGCATCAAGGAACTCAATATACAAAAAACAACCGGCAAGCGAAATAAATACAAAGCAAAAACTGGAGCTAAAAGTAAGCAAATGAGTTAATAGATCACCTAAGGTCGAGACAAATTCATCAGATGTACTTTTCGGACAAGGTCTCATCAAAACTTTTGAAAAGAAAAAAAAAATCACTAAAAGCAAATAAAAGGAATGCATGAAACAAGTGAGGAAAAAACCATTAAAATCGAAATTTAAAGCCACAAAGAACAACAAAATTTAGAAAGGTCATTATCTGTCGTAAGATTAAAAAAAAAATGTTTTTCTTTTTAAACCATCAAATCAATTGGTATTTAAAATTTCGGTACAAGAATTGTTATGTTTGCCACTATTCTTACATGATATAGTGTACACGTACTACCAAGATAAATTAGATAATATTACCATAGAAACTCATTTAAATGGGAATGAAACTAATTTGGGATTCAAGATTTCAATCACCCTTAATAGGGATAGGGTCGGGTTTGAGTTTGGGAAGGCAGGGGTTCATTTTTACCCTGTATAAAAACATAATTATAACGAATTAGCATTCAAAACGAAGCAATACTTGACAAGATATTAGGAAAAGCACATAATTAGTACTTAATATTCTCAAACTATTTTTTTTTTCTTTACATTTTTGTCCCCCGAAATTTCGAAAAGCACGCAAATATAAAATAATATTATCATATAATAAAACAATTCAAAATTTCATGCAGTACGCCACTAGTACTCCATTTTTCCTAGAATCCTTAAAGCATGACCACATCATGAATTATACACACATGTATAAATGTGCATATATCATGATATGTTATATATATATATCCTAAGGCCATGAGAAGTCTTTTTTCCAGTTAACTTCATCACTACTGAAGAAAAATCCATTCTCAGTGACCAACCAAGAACACTTCCTTAGAGGGCCACAACGACGAACATCTCTTTGAACCTTAAAAGCATCAAATCTCTTCCTCTTCTGGTCCCACTTCATAGTACAAACGAAGTTAGGGTTTCCCCAGAAATCAGTCTTCAATCTCCAGCTAAAGTCGTCTCTCTCCTGCAGGGCACGCCCACCGAGATCACTGTACTCCGAGGAGCACCAGATCACCAGCGGCAGCGACGAGTTGTCAGTGAAGCCGTTGATGACCCGGACATCGTACTCCATGCCTGACAACACGAGGTACTCCTGTCCCGGCGGAGAAAACGACAGGAGGATGATGAAAACGGCGAGGAAGAGAAGGATGATGAGGCTTATGAGTTGCTTCCTGTTCATCTTTGAGATTGTAATATTGTGTGCCGTACGAGATTTGATTTGAAGTGGAGAAGAGAGAAGGAGGAGAGGACTAAATGGAATTGGCTTTTTGGCTTTGTGTCTAGACTCTATATAGTAAGATCATCATGTGTGGTTATATATAATTATGGTGTGACAACTTTTTGTTACCAAAATTGATTTTGTGGTAGAGTTTTGTTGCTATTTATTCCGTACGTTAATGAAAGTAGTCATCATCTATATAGAGGACTAGTACTACTGAATTAATAATTACTATGTGAGGACACACTACAAAGGGAAAAAAAATAAAGCTATGTCCTTTGAATTTTTATCATGTCCTACTATACGAAAATTCATTCCACCACAAATGGTGGCAATTAATTGTGTTAAAATATTGTAAACAGTCCCAATGTTTCATAATCACATTATCACATAAAATAATTCAAATAGAAGAATGAAAAAAGGAAGAAAAAAAAGAGAGAGTTGGGGGATTTTTGGATGTTAGAGACTTCAGTATATAATGAAACATGATTTGAGCAATTGTTTGAAAAAATCTAAATAAATGTTAATAAATGCATTTTCCATTAGTAGTGTACTATCTCTTTTTCTCATGCAAATCCAATGCTTTTATAGCCTTAAATTCCCCGCTGATTCTTTGGCTTTTAGGAAAATCCAAAAGAAGAAAAAAAGGTGACCATTTCAGGCAAGAAGATATTGTTATTAATTAGTCAAATCTTCAAGCCACCAACAAGATTGTCATTTGCTTCTTGCTTCTATTTAAACCAATAATAAAACCTTTTTCCCTAAAAAAATATGCCAGTTGGAACTTTTGCTGGTAAAAACTAGCGTGCAAATGTCCAACTTGCTATATCGTCTCCTCCACTTTTGCCGCTGGCTTCTAGTTTTATATTGTATATACATACACACACACACACACATATATATATATACACATATATATGTTGGAAAAATGGCTTGTTAAGCCATATTAAAGGCCCATTTTGAGAACCATTTTAGAAAGGGGTCCAATTGGATTTTGAGACGGTTCTTGATGGATTTGCGTTCTCCATCGTGAGGAGATCGAAATTGATTATTATACACTCAAAATGGATATTGGGTGAATAAGAAATTGATGTTCTAAGTATGTCACTTGAAGTGGTTAAGGTAGTTGAAAATTATAAAAAGTCTCACATTGGCTAGAAATGAAGCCTTGGTGGTGTTTATAAATGATTACACTTTGAAGCCTAGTTAAGCATGTATACCAGAGGCTCTCTCACGCGCAGGGGTGTGAATCACGGTCCCGGCGGATTAGGGGCTCAATGTGTGCACTTACGGACACGAATGCCCGATAGAAAAACCCGCTCCATGCAGGCTTTGTTTTGTGATTTTTGTTTTTTGGTTCGGCCCAAAATCTTCCACGTTAAGCCAAAACCGTTCTTGCATAATGGTGATTAAAGGGGCTTAATAGCTAGTTTAATGACCGAGTTTAAGATAATGGCCCGCTTAATGGCTTCAGTTTTTCTTCTTAAAATCTGAACCTAGCTATGGTTTGTGGCCAGATTCATCTCAAAGGAAGGAGCACGGTTTTGCACCATAAGAATGGACCATAATTGGGTGATTAAGTCTCATAATTCCTTGTTTCGAAACCCCTTCTCAAGAGCCTATATAAGGCTTGTAACACATGAAGGAATTCACTCACTCGGACATATTCTTCACCTCTCTCTCAAGTTCTTTCTCTTATTTTTCGAGTTCTTCTTGCAATTCTTTTGTAGTGTGTTTTGGTGATAGAGGAAAGGTGCAGTTTTAGTTTGTCGGACAGTTCTGATAATACTTCGAGTTACCGTCGTTGTCGTTGTATCCTGGGAGATAGACATCCAACGTTACCTCAAGCAGTCACTGGAGGGGACGAATCTGTTTTAAGAAAAACGTGGTTCACGTACCTCGACATTCTTGCCAATTCGTTTTCTAAATTTAATAGAAATGTTGATTTTGTGTTGTAACAATTTTATTATTTTGTTCTTGCAAAAACTGTCAAGAACAATTGTACATTAGTATTGTTAAACTTTTTTTTGTGGTTATTAGCCCCCTGACAAAAATTTCTGGCTTCGTCACTACCTAACATCACCTCGGTGTACCCCTCATTGCCACAGTATTAGTTGTAAATAAAGTGAAAATAAGGGCCCCCTTAATGTGTTTGTATGTTTAATACTAATATATAAAAATATAATTAAATTGCTTTATTTGTGGTGACGAAGGAACTTGCGCTGCCGGTCCCAATTGTGCCGCTTGCTTCTGGTGATTGCATGCTTGCTGAGATGAGTATGGCGTATGCAATGCATAATCTCAGCACCAAAAATCAAAGAAAACTTTTTTTGCTAAATAAATATCAAAGAAAACTTATTAGGTCAATAATATTATTCTAAATTTCCCAAAAATAAGATTTTTGATCAAGCATATTATTACATGAAAAATTTCATGTACCGAAAATTAGTTTAGCAAATTAAAATTGATAGTTACTCATTTTTTGTGAACCAATATGATTAATTTCAAATCAAATTAACATTTGATTCTCGGATTCAGAATCAGAATTTAGAATTATTTTCGGTTTAAATGTATTTTTTATGAGAAAAAATATTGTAACGAGTCACGAACTATAATTTGAACTATGATACGAATCCTCGTACCAAACAATAAATAAGAAACAAGTGTAATTTAATTACGCAACCTGCATATTTGAAAAGTCAATCAAATCTTCCAGCATTATGATGTAATTTAACTATTCCATGACGGCTATGCGATTTAGATCAAAGGGCAATGATATATGGCTAGCTGGGGCTTCAAAAAGGAGAGATTAAATTAAGGTCAAATAGTTTCTTTTGTTATTGGACAAGAACACTACAAAGTCCAGTTTATACCAAATTCCCAAGGATAAGCACTTGTACTCTCACCAACTTGTCAAAGAGCCACTCATAATATACAGACAAATATAATATTTAATCTAAAACAATGTAATGTAACGAGCATGATTGGAGAATCCTTTTTTCTATTTTGTTATGCACTATGGATGGACAATCAATATCATATATATATATATATATATATATATATAATATAGAGTGTAATTACGGTAATAAAAATATTTGTATCATTAGGAGTACATAAAGTCATATAAATACATAAAATTCAATAAATTATAATCGTTATCACAAAGATCATGAGATCGTGAAAAAAAAAAAAAAAAACATTAAAAAACGAGAAAGAAAAGAAAAGAAAGTACAAAATATCATTAGTAGTCTTCAAGGACAAATCGGAAAAACAAAAATAAGAATTAAAATTTAAAAAAATAAGACGGAATGCAATGTTAAGTAAATATTAATGCTAGGCTTCAGAATCTAGATTTTTTGGTTAAAATTGTTAAAAGAAAAAAAGAAAAAAAAATAATGCTAGAGACACTAATTTTCATATCAACTCTTTACGTATGATATGTGAGTTGTTATCTATTTATTGATAACTGTTTAAAAATTGTCCCGTTAACTAATAATAAGTAATTAGATCTACTAATAAAAAGATAATAGCTTTATACCAATAACTTGTTAGAAATAGTTAGGAAAGAGTTGGTGTTCCTAACACTACTCAATAAAAAAAGGGGAAGGGAAATGTGTGGATGTGATGAGTGAGTTTTACGCTTAGTGTATTGTTAGTGTTTGAGTATTTAGTGTCAAATTTACACGTGTTTTGTGTTTATTTTTGTAGGAAATAGCATATAACATGTATTTCGGCTCAAATAGAGACAAAACGAGCTAAAAGGATCACATTGGAGATGTTTGTTTACAAGCGCCACTGCGTCAACGGATAGGGTCGCGGTGCCATGGGGCCGAAATGAAGGGCACCGCAGCACCCAACAACGAGGGTCGCGACACTAGTGGGGCGAAATGAGGAGCGTCGCGGCGCCAGAAGAGAGGGCCACGGCTCTTGTGCACGAGCTGCTGAGAAAATATGTTATTTTGATTCCAATTTTGCCCTTTTCGAACCTTGTATAAATAAGACTTTTTAGGACTAAGTGAGGGGTTCTTTGCCTAGAGAGAAGCAAGAAAAATTGATGGCTTGGTGAAGAAGGAGACATCGCTCCCGCAAAGGCAAGAAAAATTGATGGCTTGGTGAAGAAGGAGACAACGCTCCCGCAAACATAAATCGCCTTTGATTCGTTAAATTAGTTTTATTCTTCTTACTTTTTTCATGATTAGAATTATTGTTCGGATGTTCTCTATTTCCATTATGTTTTAATTTTCTTTTTTAGGGCTACAATGATCATGAATGTTCAATTTCTCCTATTTTTAATAAATTGAGGTTTGTTCCATATATGCTGAGTGTTACAGTCTGTTCTTAATACTTGTGATTGTCAGGCCAACTTTTGCATGATCAGGTATTTAATTTGAGACTAAGAAGTTATAATTGAATAAGCCCATGAATGTAATGCCGTAGGATTTTTATAAGTTAGAGATAATTATGTGCAGTATTATGGTTTCTTGGACTTAATGAGTTTCAACGTGTTAAAAATGCTGATAAAGATGTAAGGTCTGAAGTGTTGAAACATGACTATTAATGATGCTTGAAAAAGATTAGTAGTTAATTTAGAGAAACTCACTGTTGGCATTAGAAATAAACTTTGATTTATTGAAATTGGAAATTTGAGCATGATTGATTTAGTAAAATCAAAAACCCTAGAGTCGTTAATTATTGAATTTTCTCTTATATATATTTATGTTTAATTTTACGTTGTTTTTGTTCAATTTTTATTTCATACAAATTCTCCTCTTTTGATTTTTTTGAAAGAAAGTTAGAGTTAATATAATTTTGGTAGTTAATATTGACCGGTCCTCAAAAGACGATACTCGTATTCAAGAGTTTATTATTTGAGAACGTACACTTGCATTAGCGATTTATTATAACAGGATGACTGAGAGAGTATAGAAGCAGTAATTTTTTTTGAAAGGATAAAAGAAAGCAATGATTATGTTTCTGATGGTTTGAAATTGAAAAAAAAAAAAAAAAAAAAAAAAAAAACAATAATTATATTTTCTGATGTTGCTCCTGTGTCATAATACATAAATTGGTGCTTTCTTCACTGCTTTTTTTTTTTTGTTTTTTTGGCAGAATAGTCCTGACCTAAAAAAAATGTGAATAAAGGAAAAGGCGGCTTTTAGGATCTCAATCTCAATCTCGCAGCATTTGAACTGTGGAACTTTGGCACAATCTAGTATAGTCTAGTTAATGCCTACGCATGTTGTTCTTGGTGATTCTTCTTCATCTTTGAAAGGACCCAAAAAGGAGAAACTGAGGCATTTACATGAAGATCTTGTTGCAATGTTTGACATATATAACTAGACTAAAAGTCACTCTTGGTTTTCGAATCGAATTCAGATGCGAAAGTATGAGGATAGTAGATTAAGTATAAAAAAAAAATTTATAAAATTTTTAAGATACTCCATAACTTATATTAATTTATACACGAATAAATTAATCACATTAATTTATTTATTAAGAACTCAATTAATAATAATACCTAGCGGCCGATTAGGATGATAACTTAAGTTATTTGATCTCGAACGATCCTTGCTCCAAAGCCTTGTGTTTAAAAAACTAATGTCTTCCACGTCAATTTCTAGAATCCACGGAGACGTGGGTGTAGGCAAACCTAAGACAAAACGGGTTAGAATAAACACTCAAATTTTCACAAACATCAACGCATGCATGATGTGAAATTTTTGGAGAAATTTTTTTTTCATTTCACTCTAGAGAAATTCGGCCACACTTAAAAAAATAGGTAAAAAATCGTGTCTCACAATTTTCTATCAGTTTCTTATTTATAGAGTAGAAATCAAACTTCTAGAATGAATCCAATCTCTATCTCTAACATAAAACTTGTTAATTATCTCTTATTTAAATTTGGAGCAAAATTTTCTCTTCCCTTTTATTCATTATGCCGGCCAACCTAATGAGATTTTATCCCTGTGTGACGCCAAATACATATAGGGAAGGAAGAGAAAATCATCTTTTATCATATAGTCCAATTTTGACTCAAATTCAAATTTCAATTTAAGTCGAACTTAAATTAATTTGAATTATAAATTGAACAACTTATCAAAAAAGTTTAAAATGATAAATTTAAATTGTGTTCACAATTCAGATTCAAATTTAAATAATCACATTATTTAAATAATAATTAATTATCAATTAATTATTTTTTAGTGTTTAATTCTAGAATTCCGTAATTCTAAAATTTCTATTTTACCCTTTGTGTCTCGTAGAATAACAACGACGACATGGGGACTAATGGACTTATAATCTCGAGCTCCAATAAAATTAATAATTAATTAAACACTTTAATTAATTAATTCTACAAATTCCAATAGTTACTCCACTATAAACTTGAAATTGCACTCTCGAAATTATAGACATAAATTACTTTTAAACTGTGAACTGTCCATTTGATATAGTCATTGCATATAGATCAATCCTCCATAAATAATCCATAATTAGAGCTAGGTAAAATCCGCTAACCTCTCTAGCTATATCTTCATCCTTGAGTACCATTGATTCTATAATGAATAGTAATTCATAAAACACATTTATGAACCAGAGCGCTCTTACTTATCTAAGTACCGAATCAACACTCAAGAGAATTATTTATCTGCTTCTTTCTCAAGAAGGAACGAATTCCATCTCGTATAATAACATTTTTGGCTACCTACTTCATCATGTCTTCAAAAAACAAGGAATAAGTTTCAGGGTCTCGGAATATGTACCGAGTAAATCAAAAGACACAAATCCATAAATAGGAGTTTGTTAAGAACTCAGGATTAAGATTATTCTATATATGACCATCGGTAGACTCACTTAGAATTTATATACTTAACGGAAATTATTAGAAATTCACATTGTGTATGTGTCCCTGTTCCACATAATCTCATTATGCATAATACATTCATTCAATATTTGTAACGCCCTCCAGAATTAAACATGTTTAATTATGCTAAATTGTGGGTTATTAGTGTGCCTAATTTGATTTTCACAATTAATCAATGAACTTTAAATTATTTTTTGTATTTATAATTTCACGCTAAAATTCTTTTAAAAATACACTTAACTTTTATTGCATTTTTCCTTTTCTCATTTTTCCCTTTTTCCTTTTTTTCCTTTTCTTTTCTTTTTCCTTTTTCTTTTTTTCTTCTTTTCTTTTTCCCCTTCCTTTTCCCTCCCATGTAGCCCCTCCCCCAGACCCCTCTCTCTCTCTCTTCATTCTTTCTTCTCTTTTTTTCCTTCCTCTGGTTCTCTCACCACCAACCACCGCATCTCTCTCTCTCTTTTCTTCCACCGCCGGCCACTTCTTCGGGCTCTCTCCCGCCGGCCTTTATCTCTCCCAGCGGCCTTTATCTTTCCCTTGCTCTCACTCTCTCTCTCTCTCTCTCTCCCTCGGCAGTTTGGCCGAGACACCACAAAAAAAAATGAAAACGGGAGAAACGAGGGAAACAAAGCTCCATCAACTAATTTGAGGTAAAACCCCTTGAAACCCACTCTTTGATTTAAATTTTAAGCTTGGGAAAGTTTAATTTTGGTTAGATTTGAATAATTTTAAGTTAGGGTTTAGATTTGAACAATTGTTATTAGAATTGAATTAAATTTGGGGGTTTCCAGTTATTGGACTTATTAAATTGATTGGAAAGTGATTTTGATGGATTCTGGAGAATTTATTTTTAAATTGAATTTGAATTGCAGGTTTGGTATTTTTCCTATTTATGCCGGCATGCTGCCAAAATTTTTTAAAAACTTATTTTTAAACTGAAATTAAATAGGAAACTAGACCCATGAATTAAATTTCAATATTTGAGGAACTCCCAAACTGGATTATAAAACCGTTTGTGAAACTTGGATTTGAGTCAAGACATACTAATACGAAACAATTAAAGATGATTGAGCTTAATTCATTTTAGGAATGAGAAATAATTCCTAAGATATTGCTTTTGTGATAAAGCTAGTGGAGAATATCGAGTATTAAAGCTTTTGGAGGTTAGGGTGACAAGAAGTTAGCCACATGTTTGACATCCGAGAGGTAGGATATTCTTACCCATTTTCTTGTTAGCCTATTTTAAAGTGTTTTGGCCAAATAATGTTTTTAAAAGATAAGAACATGTTGATAAAGAAAAGTATTTTCAAGACAATAGCTTGATTTTCGCTATTGATCTCATAATGGATTGATTTCAAGTTTTAATGAACATTTTTGTAAGATAAGATACCTTGCGAACTGGTAAGCTCGCTGATGGCCTAGATAGGATATGGAGATCGTGTCCTTGGAGGCAGAACCCGAAACCCGTATGGGCCACTACGGTGGCGTTTGGCCTCGCTTTGGTCGTGAGTAATTTAATTACTTAAATTACTTGCTAGTTGCCTGTAATATGAAATTTCAGTTTATTTACCTTTCAAAAAAAGGTCATTTGGTTCCGATTGATTATTTTAGGCCTGACTATCTCATTTTATTTACTTAATTATTTATTTAGTTTTATAACTCTTATCCGATTGGGCCTTTCACTCATTTTCCTATGTTTTAAAATGTATTAACCCCACCCAGGTGACGCTAGAAGTAACGCAGAATAGGTGAGGAATTCAATTCTAGAGGAAAGGAAGCGGTGAAGCATCTTCCTTCACTATCAGACTTATAAAGGCATGTATTAACTATGGATTGTAAACTTTAAACATAACTAGACAGTGGTTGATGCCAGTTATTTACTTTTCCGTATTTAAATATGTGTGCACAAATTGTAACCCTGTGGATGACGGAGGCTGACTTTTTAAGCTGATCTTAATAGTGATTGTGTTTTATAGAGTCCGCCTCACCCCTTCTAAAAACTCAATTTCATTAAAATAGCGGGGCTTGTTTGGAAATACCTGAGTGTTCTGGTTTTGAAAATCAAATTTTGAAATGTTAACAGTTTAACCACCCTCTTAATCAGGTTTAATTTCTAAGCAAGCCTCGACGTCACTAACCCCTGTTTGGGGGCGTGACAAAGCTTGGTATCAACGCTAATGGTTTTGAAAATTCTTGGAGATTTGTGCATACATTAATGACATCAGGAAACAACTAAACAGTCTAGTTTCTTTTCAGTTAAGAGAATGTCGTCACGTCATAGAGCTGTTAATCTGCTGGCTGTACTGAATGAGGGTATCATGGAGGCAATGTATGCCGCATTTTAGGGAATGGCTACTCGAGCCAATAATGACTGTCTAGCTGGAGACAGGAAGTAGAGGTATTTTCGCGAGTTCAGACGTGGGTCAATCCCTACATTCAATAATGAGGGTGGACCACAGGAAGCAAAGTATTGGTTTGAGTCCATCACCAAACACTTGAACACAATGGGAGTACCCGAAAAGTACTGGGTAGAGTTTGCAGTCTACAAGTTTGAAGGGCAAGCAAGTACTTGGTGGAAGCAGACTATGAGGCTGCATGATGTGAGCACCATGACGTGGGAATTATTTGAAGAACTTTTCAATGAACGGTACTTTCCTCAAAGCTACCGCGACAAGAAAGCGATGGAATTTATGGGGTTAGAACAAGGAGATATGACCGTGAAGGAGTACAAGGCTAAGTTCAATGACCTATCCCGTTTCGCACCAACCTTAGTCGAATATGAGCAAATGAAGTGTCACAAATTTGAAAAGGGTCTCAAAAGCAATGTCCAAAAATCGTTGGTAGCCCTTAGAATTCGTGTCTACCGATACTTGGTGGCTTCAGCGATATCAGTTGAGCAAGATAACTTGGCCTATCCCCAAACTAGAGAAGCTATGAACAGAGCTTCAGGAGGACCTCAGCGGAATCAAAGAAGGAACCGCAACCGAGAGCAAGCCAGTGGGGAAGCGACAAGTGGGAGCAGTGGTTCTTCAGGAAGCGGAGGAAGTGGTTCCCAATGAGCAGGATGTCATTGACGTAAAGAACTAAGAAGACCACTTTCTCTTCTTTCTTGTACTTGTAGACACATGGTTCATCAATATTTTGATCCAATCCATAAGACTTTATAGCCTCATCAAACTTGATGTTCCATGATCTAGAAGCATGCTTCAATCTATAAATGGATCTCTGTAGCTTGCAGACTTTCTGCTCTTGGCCTTCCTCTATGTTACCCTCTGGTTGATCCATATAGATGGTTTCCTTAAGATAGCCATTCAAAAAAGTTGTCTTGACATCCATCTACCATATCTCATAGTTAAAATATGCTACAATAGCCAGGAGTAGCCGGATGGACTTCAGCATAGCTACCAGTCAAAAAGTTTCCTCATGGTCAACTCTCTCCTTTTAGGTATAACCCTTAGCAACCCTTGCTTTATAAGTCTCTACTTTTACAGCTGCTCCTTTCTTTCTGTTGAAGATCCACTTGCATCCAATGGGTTTTACCCCTTCGAGTAGATTTACAAGTTGCCAGACTGAGTTAGAGTACATAGACTCCATCTCGAGTTTCATAGCTGCTTGTCATTCTTCCTTATCAGAATCATCCATCGCATACTTAAAGGTTGATGGGTCCTCCTTACCGTCATCAGTAGTGACGATCTGGGCTTCCCCCCACTATGACGAGGTGCCACATGAGTCTTACCAGGAACTGTGGTCTTTTCTCTTGGTGGTCTAACAACTCTTACTAGCTGTGGTCTGATCTCATCAGAAAGTAACTCTTCCAGAACTACTTTGCTTCTGGGCTTAAAGTCTATCATATAGTCATGCTCTAGAAACGCGGCATTTGTCGATACAAACACCTTTCTATCTGCCTGACTATAAAATAGTCCTCTTCTTATCCTTTGTGGGTATCCCACGAAGATGTATACTTCTAACCTTGGTTCTAACTTCCCGGTCTTTTGTCTCAGTACGTATGCAGGACATCCCCATATGCGAATGTGTCTCAAACTAGGTTTTTTATCATTCCACAACTCTATGGGTGTCTTAGGTAGAGACTTAAATGGAACTAGATTCAGAATATATACAGCAGTTCTTAGGGCATAACCCCAATACTAAGTAGGCAATAAAGAATAACTCAACAATGATCTTATCATGTCAAGCAAAGTCTGATTTCTTTTCTCGGCTACACCATTCTGCTGTGGTGTACCGGGTGCAGTCGATTAGGATACCACACCTTCTTCAATCAAGAAATCCCATAACTCTTAGTCCAAGTATTCACCCCCTCAATCTTATCAAAGTGTCTTGATTGGCTTACCTAACTATTTTTTAACTTCTACTTAGAACTCTCTAAACTTTCCAAAAGTTTCAGATTTCCATTGCATTAGGTAAACATAACCATATCTCGAATAGTCGTCAATAAGGGTGACATAATATTCATAACCTCCTCTAGCTTGGATATTTAACGGTCCACATACATCCGAATGTATTAGTTAAAGGGGTTCCGTAGCTCTTTCTCCTTTCGCCGTGAAAGGCCTCTCGGTCATTTTACCTTCCAGACAAGATTCACAGACCAGAAGCTCACCAACTTTTAGTTCACCTAAAGGACCATCCTTTACCAGTCTTTCAATCTTGTTTAGGTTAATAGGACCAAGCCTAAGATGCCATAGATATGTGTTATTTTCATGAGAAATCTTTTGCTTTTTATTCTTAGGTTTGGCAAATTTGAACATTCCAATATTAAGCAGTGAGTTAGGTATTGGCTTTATACAATATAAACCATCATCCAGACGTCCACAATAAATATTTAAACCATTTCGAGAAATATGAACAAATTTATTATCAAAATAAACTTTAAATAATTGTTCGAATAACTTAGCTACAGAAATCAAATTTCTATGAATGTCTGGAATTAAATAAACATTATTCATAACTAAAAATTTATTGTCCCTAAAATGATGTCTAACTTCTCCTACTGCTTTTGCCGAAACTCTTGCGCCATTGCCCATTTTCATCGTGTAGTCCCCATCAGCTAGCTCGGTGTAAGAACTAAGACTCTGTAAAGAAAAATAAACATGATTAGTTGCTCCCGAATCAATTATCCAGGCCGAGGTATCAACCTCTGCTAAACATGTTTTGGGAACCAGTAAATCTAATTTACCTTGTTCCTTTTTGCTTTTCAGCTCCTCGAGATACTTGTTGCAGTTTCTCTTCCAGTGCCCTTCGCCATTGCAGTGGAAGCATGTCATGCCCCGAAGCCAGGGTCGGTGACGTGGAGGCTCGATTAGGGGGTTGAACGCAGTTAACAATAAAATATTGAGGAAATTCCCAAACGAGTCCCACATTTCACTGAAAATAAATTGCTAAATACAAGAGGTTTATAACTAAGCCTACACCACCGGTCGATCGGTGTACACGAGATTTGACCTTGTTTTGCCTGAAAATGCCATTTTGACCTCAGTTTTTTAGGAGAACCCAAATTAGCTTCATTTGGGGGATCTAAAGTGAATGGATTAGTATCTTTAATCCATGTTTTGATATTGAAAACCCTTGGAATGATGATTTGAAACATGAAATGGGTTGTGAAACCGGTAATTGAATTATGACACACTAATAGGAAATCCAAAAGGATATAATTGAGATTGAAATTACTTTCGGAACGAGAATTAGATCCTAAAGTGTTGTTTTGTATCAGTACTAGTTGAGGACTCAGATTAAGAGGCTTTGAGGAAGAGAAAGCCGGAATAGAACAACGCTAGCCACAGGTTTGGTACTTGTGAGGTAGGATTTCTTACCGTTTCCTTTGTGAGCCTGTTTTCAAAAGAGTTTTGGCCTTGCAAATGTTTTAAAGAAAGGACATGTTTGCAAAAGAAAAAAATTTTAACCCCCATGGCTTGTTGTAGTTCTGGGGAGTATAATGAATTGTTTCATAAGGTTTAATGAATGATTTCTTAAGACAAGAGATCTTGCAAATCGGTAAACCGGCTGATGGCCTAGATAGGATGTGGAGAGTGCATTCTTGGGGGCAGCACCCGAAACCTGGCCCGGGGTGCTATGGCTTGTGCATGTGGTTGTGTAAGTAATTTATCATAGTATAAATTACTTGCTGATTCCTGTAATATGAAGATTTTCAGTTATATTTCCTTTGAGAAAAAAGATGTGAGGTTTCGGCTGTTGTGTTGGAACTGAATGTCTATGTTTATTCATTTACTTATTCATTTATTCACTTGTTTGCTCATTTATTTACTTATTTATAAAGTTATTTCAAAATATATCCTAATGGCCCTTTCACTCACGTTTTATTATTTTATAAATATTAACCCCTCCCAGGCGACTCTAGGAGCAGTACGGAGTAGCTGAGTTGAGTTGCTACCACCTGATTAGGAGAGGATTGTAATCATCCTCCCTGTGTACGAATGTAATAATTTTAACTTCTGTAAACTCTACATCTCTGGATTTCTAGATTGTGGTTGAATTTTCATGTATGTACAATACTGTATATCCTATGGATGAAGCCCTGAACGATGTCAGAGGCTTAGTTATAAACCTCTTGTATTCAGTAATTTATTTTTAGTGAAATGTGGGGCTCGTTTGGGAATTTTCTTAATATTTTATTCTTAATCGCGTTTAACCCTTAATCGAGCCTGCACGTCACCGACGCCGGCTTCGGGGCATGACAAAACACTTTCCCTTGGGTTTCTGGTTAGAGCCTTTGGTCTTCTTAGGTTTCTTGTTCTTTCCCTTCTTCCCTTTGCCTTGGTTCTGGTTCTTCCTTTATTTTTACCAGATCCTCCTGCAATAACAACATTTGCTTCTCCTCCCCTACTTTTGTTGGTGGATTCGAAGTTTTGCAGGTCATTCAAGAGTTCAGTAAGGTTAGACCTTTTCTTGTTCATAACATAGTTGTTTATGAACTCATGAAAATCGAGGGATAGACTTTCCAAGATGATGCCAACTTGGGTGGCTTCATCGATCCTAGTACCACTGAGCCCTGCCTCGTGGAGGTGATCAATCATGTTCAAAATATGTACCTTGACCGAAATGCCTTTTTTCATCTTCTCATTCATGAAAGCCCTGACAGCATCTAAACGAGCCTTCTCTGAAGGAGCACCAAACATAACTTCTAGAGACTCCATTATCTCATAAACGGTCTCCATCTCCTCATGCTTCTTGCGAAGCACATCACTCATGCTAGCCAACATGCAGCACTTTACTTTGTTGTTGGCCTTGATCCAGCAATCATAAGGCTCCCGGGTAGTTTTAGATGCGTTAGCCATGGGTTCTTGAGGACATTCCTCTACTAGGACAAATTTATAGTCGTTGCAGACTAATGGTATGTTCATGTTACTTTTCCACTTAGCGTAGTTACCACCATCTAGTTTTTCAGTCGCAAGTAGGGTGATTATAGGATTCGACATATTGCTGGAAATAAATAGAATATTCATCTAATCAATTTATGTGCATGAATATCAAGACATGTGAATTTTGACACAATTAAATATGATGCATGATGCACATGAAAAATACATAAATTATGTTTTAATTTTAGGTGTCAACAATAATCTAATTTACCACGAATATAGTGCCGCTGTAAGGTAGGTCAAAATATTCACAAATCAAACTGAGACCTTCTCAATTAATAAATATATTTAAAATATCTCATATTTTCATATTTATCAACTACCGTTATTTTGGTCAAAAATATAATCAACAATTTGATTATATTTCCATGAGTGTAACCCATCGTTTTAGATTCTACAGACTTAACTCCGGAGTGCCGCCGTAGGGTAGGTCAAACCAGAAATATATCCTTGAAGCCTATCGCTAGGAAGTCAATCTTGTTATTGATCTGAAAGAACACTTTCCGTAGGGAGTGCAGAATCGGTGCCGCTGCGAAGCCCCTTTCGAATCTCACGATGTTGAACTAACGATGGAGACCAGTGGGTCGTATTGTCATACAACCCTCTCCTACTCATTATTTTGCAAATATGTATTTTATTTGAAAATCATCTCATGTTTTTCAAAACCCGATAAATAAACAATTTATTTTTCGGATATGTGAAATTCTAAAATTTAACTCCTAAATTCAATTTCACATATAACATTATTTTGTAAATCAATTTTGCAACTTAAATCAATTTAATCATATTAAATCGATTTTAGCGCATGGTTCTTATTTTATTTTATCCTTTTAAAACTCTTTTAAATAAATAAAATAAATAATAATAAATGCGCGTATATGCATGACATGTTATAAAACATATGAGTAGGCACACTATATCTATGTGACATGTTATATGCATGGACATATGATACATAATTATCAACATAAAATATAAATACATTCAATCGGCTATTAAGATGGAATTGACCGGGTCTCATGGAAAATATAAATTACAACCAAATCGAATAAATAAATAATTACAACAATTATTTTCTTTCGTTACATCAACGGGTCTTTGATTCCTGAATTCTTCAATCTTTGGCTTCATTCTTCGTCTTCGGGTCTAATTCCACCTCCTTCGGGGCTCAAACTCTTCCGGGTCCTTCGGCACACAAAATGAGGTTTTTAGAAACTATCAGGCTCGATTAGAGTCCACTGCCAGCGATGGTGCACGTCTGGGCGCGCTGGTGGAGTGCCGCGCGCGTTGGGTTTGTTCTGGCGCGTGCTGGGTGGTCTGGGCGTGCGCACGGGACTCTCTGGGCGCACGCGGGGCTGCATGGGCACGCACTGGGCACTGTGTCTTGGGTAGTCTAGGCAGTTTTTCTGGCTGGGTGTCCGGGGCTGCATGGGGTGATTTTTTGGGTTTCTTTGGGTGGTCTGGGCGTGCGCACGGGACTCTCTGGGCGCACGCAGGGCTGCATGGGCACGCACTGGGCACTGTGTCTTGGGCAGTCTAGGCAGTTTTTCTGGCTAGGTGTCCGGGGCTGCATGGGGTGATTTTCTGGGTTTCTTTTTACTCAAAATCAAAACCCTAATCTAACCAAAGGCTAGAATTACAATAATTCTAATCCTAAATAAAATTACAAATAATTTAATTTGAACGAATTTAATGCGATCCATGGAATCATATAATTAACGACCAAATACACCATCCATACATTCATCAACATGAATTAAATATAAACATCCATAAATACAAGTGCTTACCCATCACATACATACATAATTAAATATCACATATTTAATATATTAATTTTGATTATCACATAATCAGAGCATAAATTAACATCATCTATAGACCGCTCTGATACCAATTGTTGGTTTCCGAATCGAATTCAGATGCAGAAGCATGAGGATAGCGGATCTATAACAAAAATTTTCATAAAACCTTTGAGATACTTTATAGATTATATTAATTTATGCACGAATAAATTAATCACATTATTTATTTATTAAGAACTCAATTAGTAATAATACCTAGCGGCCGATTAGGATGATAACTTGAGTTCTTTGACCTCAAACAATCCTTGCTCCAAAGCCTTGTGTTTAGAAAACCAATGTCTTCCACGTCAATTCCTAGAATCCACGGAGATGTGTGTGTGGGCACATCTGAGACAAAATTGGTTAGAATAAATACTCAAATTTCCACAAACACCAACGTATGCACGATGTGAAATTTTTAGAGAAAAATATTTTTTCTCTCTATAGAGAAATTCGGCCACACTTAAAAATATTAGGTCAAAAATTGTGTCTCATAATTTTCTATCATTATCTTATTTATAGAGTAGAAGTCAAACTTCTGGAATAAATCCAATCTCTATCTCTAAGATAAAGCTTGTTAATTATCTCCTATTTGAATTCGGAGCAAAATTTTCTCTTCCCTTTTATCCATTATGGCCGGCAAACCTAATGGGATTTTATCCCTGTGTGGCGCCAAATACAGATAGGGAAGGAAGAGAAAATCATCCTTTATCCTGTAATCCAATTTTGACTCTAATTCTAATTCTAATTTAAGTGAAACTTAAATTAATTTGAATTATAAATTGAACAACTTATCAAATAAGTTTAAAATGATAAATTTAAATTTTGTTCACAATTCAAATTCAAATTTAAATAATTACATTATTTACATAATAATTAATTCTCAATTAATTATTTTCATGTGTTAAATTTTAGAATTTCGTAATTCTAAAATTCTCATTTTGCCCTTTGTATCTGGTAGAATTATAAGGACGACGTGGGAACTAATGGACTTACAATCCCGAGCTCTAATAAAATTAATAATTAATTAAATACTTTAATTAATTAATTAATTCTATTAATTCCAATAGTGACTCCACTATAAACTTGGAATTGCACTCTCAAAATTATAGACATAAATTACTTCTAAACTGTGAAGTGTCAATTTGATATACTCACTGCATATAGATCGATCCTCCATAAATAATCCATAATTAGAGCTAGGCAGAATCTGCTAACCTCTCTAATTATATATCCATCCTTGAGTATCATTGATTCTTTAATGGATAGTGATTCATAAAACACATTTATGAACCAGAGCACTCTTACTTATCTAAGTACCAAATAAACACTCAAGAGAATTATTTATATGCTTCTTTCTCAAGAAGGAATGGATTCCATCTCGTATAATAACATTCCCAGCTACCTACTTCATCATGTCTCCAAAAGACAAGGAATAGGTTTTAAGGTCTCGAAATCTGTACCGAGTAAATCAAAAGACACAAATCTATAAATAGGAGTTTGTTAAGAACTCAAGATTAAGTTCTTCTATATATGACTATCGGTAGACTCAATTAGAATTTATATACTTAACAGAAATTATGAGAAATTCATATTGTGTTTGTGCCCTTATTCCACATAATCTTATTATGCATAATACATTCATTCAATATCTTATCATATTAATCCGTTCCATTCTGAAGGAGAATGACATGTATTAGTAATGTTTTAATTGAAGATTCTGAACTTCAATTAAATTTATTACGAACATCGCTTTTTGATTATTATCCTTAAACATTATCCTCTCACATACAACACTTATATACAATGTTTAAAATCACATAAATAATCACAGAATTTTCATTTGATATTTATAAAATGTTCACAAATATATGCACATAAAATAATAAATAAACTCTTTTATTAAATAAATAATAAATATCTTATTATATCTCATATTTTTAGGATGTCATTCCTAACAATCACAACATAGCAGCATTGACCATAGCAGCATTGACCACTTCTCCTAGTCGTGCAGTCGTATATTCTACGAAACGATATATTCTGACTAGAGGTCAGGGCTGTGTAGATTGGACAGTAATTCATAAGGGAAAAAAAAAAAAAGGTCAACCAAATCGCGTAGGGTTAAAAGAATTTTGTTAATCCCATTGAAAAAAAAAAAAACTTAATTAAAAAGAAATTTAGGAAATATACACCCTTAATTCATTTGTTTAAGTTGATGCCCTTTTGCTAAAATTCTGCCGTCTCAATTTGATTTGGAATGGATAAAAAAAATAAATAAATAACATAAATCTAAGAGTGTTAACCGACTCGCTAATGTTACAAAAAATAAATAATAATAATAACATAAATCTAAGAGTGTTAGTCAACTCGCTAATGTTGTTCGTTCTCCAGTCTTTAAGTGCACTTCGTGACTCAATTTGCTACATTCCCCTTCGAGGGGTTACCTTGCTGTTTAACTTATTTCGCTTGTTCTTCTTCTACTGATTCTGTTTGTATAGATGTTTCCCCCTTATTTATTAGCTCTCTTATACTTGCTGACGTTGCAATTAAGTAATTAAATCTCAGTTTTATTCTTAAAAAAAAAAACAAAAGAAAAAATCTCGTATACAGATCGAATCATGTCGCGCGGTGTGGTTAAATACAAATGAGAACCTCAAATCAAACCACTAAAAAAATCAGCACCACAAAGTGACTTTTGAAATTAAGCAGTTATTCTTCTCGTCTCTAATTCTTAGTACTTGGGTTGACATGTGGAACAGCGACAGCGTGACACGTGACCCTACTTTCCTCAAAATGTGGCAACCCTCGACGCCAAGAGTTCGACTACCCTCGACGCTCGGAGTTCACTACCCCTCGACGCTGCAAAGAAAGGCCCAAATTAGGGCGTCGACCCTTTGTGCCGTCAAACTTATGCAAACAACCCTCGGA